AACATTCATGCCCAGTTCAATGCCCCCCTCAGAATGACTTCCTCCCAAGGCCAAATTCATTGTTCCCTCTTCTGTGGGCTTATGTATTTTGCTTATGAGTCTAATTTTGGCACCAAACATGTTTTTTTGTTTTAATGCCATCGTATTTGTCAGTTTTTTCCTCTATGGTTACTGCTTTCTTAATGTTGCATAACTCTTTCCTACCCTGAGTTCCTAAGATATTCTCCTATATGTAATTTTTTAAGTTTTTAATTTCTCCTGGGATTTATTTTTCATATATGGTACGAGGTGGAGATCCAGGTTTTTTTTGTTTATTTAAAAAATATTTTTATTGGGGAATTGGGGAAGGGGACCGGCCAAGTCATTGTTCTTCAATCTTTGTTGTGGAGGGCGCCAGTCGCCATGTGGCTTCCCGTGGGCAGCTCGTGGCCTCTAAGCTCAAGGTGCTGTGTTACAATCTTAGTTGCGGGTGGGCATAGCCACCATCCCATACGGGAGTCAAACCAGCAGCCTTGTTGTTAAGAGTGCACGCTCTATCCACTGAGCCATCCGGGTGGCAGCTCAGCTCAAGGTGCCAAGTTCAGATTTAGTTGCGGGCAGGCATAGCCCACCATCAAACAGGCAATCTTGTTACACCAGCTGAGCCATCCAGCCACCTGTTGGCAGCTCAGTGACAGCTCAGCTCGGGCGCAGCATCACTGGCCCATGTGGGAATTGAACCAGCAGCCCTGTTGCTCAGAGCTCGGGCTCCCACGCCAACTCTTAACCAACAAGCCACTCGGCCAGCCCTGGTTTGGTTTTCTATAGATGTATAAGTCATGATCTGCAGCATGGCTAGTTCCCTCATTGTTGTTGTTTTTTCCTTTTTCTTTCAAGAGTGCGTGGCTAGTCTTGGCCTTTTGGTCTTTCATGTTTTAGAATCAACTTCTTCAGTTCCTTATTTGGAACTGTAGTCAATCTATATATTCGTTTGAAGGAGAACTGTCATTTTTACAATATGAATTTTCCTATATGTCAACATGCTTTATGTCTCTGTTTGGTTTTATGTAATCTATTTCAATAGAGTTTTTGTAATTTTCTCCATATAGTTTTGCACATAGTGGTAGAGATTGCTGGTTGTGCTTCCTTCCATAGTAACAGAATCCCTCATTTTTAGCTGGGCACACAGACACTCAGAACAAAGTATTTCCTAGGCTCCCTTGCAGCTAGGAGCCATGTAACTTAGTATTTCTAGCTAACGGGAATGAACAAAAATGGTATGCAACTTCTGGGAAGTGTCATTAAAGGAAGTTAGGTACCCTTTGTCTTCCGTTTTCTCCTTCCTGTTGGCTGGAACTCAGATAACACAGATGAAGCTAGCCATCTCAGGCCATGAGGTAGAAAAGCACGTATGAGGATAGCAGAACAACATAATAGAAGGAATAGGAATTCCTGATCACTATGGTTTCTGTCAGAAAGGAAGAAGAATGAATACTGGATAAGGCAGCAAGCAATGTCTGTCACAGCTGAGAGGCTACCGAACCCTAGTTATATGCTAGTGTTGCTTATGGAGACTAGGGCCTGAAATTATGATCTTGTAGGCAAAGATGATAATTATGGTGTTGTGATGGTAGGGTAGGAAGATGCTGGAGGCACAGTATGAAGGAGTATATGGTATGCAGTGAGAAGTGTAGAAAATGGCCAACTAAGCAAGAAGTTCAATGAATGATTTTGACACAAAACATGAGCTCAACCTTTTTAGTGTGTGGTCAAGAATAATCTTTAGAGATTATAGTCACAGGGGCAATTGTTTAGGAAAAATTATGTACATTTTGGAAACAAGTCAAAAAGATGACCACATGATCTTTGAATAGTATGCCGGAGCATTTTCAAATAAGTTCACCTGAGAGTCACCAGATTATCTTGGAGAATATGATTTTGTTTGATTAGCACCCAGAAGTTTTACAACCCTCATAAGTTAACGGGTAATGTATAGAACTAATAAGGTTCATTGAGTTTTTTTCTAGTTTACTAAAGAAGATAACCCCAAAAATTAAAGTCTATTGTCCTTTAGGACATTGTACCTAACTTAGCATCTTCCTTCAGCATTTCTTTCCCTATTGACTATATAAGTCCCGATTCCTCGTATCTTCACTGACAATGAGCTTTGTCATTCTGTTGATTTCTTCATTATTGAGGTAAATCAAATTTTGATATGTGGGGAAGAAAGAAAGAATATGGTATGAAAGGCCTTAGAAAGAAGTTAAAGGCAAAAGATGAGCCTCAGCTTAGAGGAAGAGAACAGGGTGTTCCAGTAGTTCTGGAAATTTCTATCAGGAGAGTACAGCGCCCCTCAAAACTGAGTTATATATAGGGCCTAAAAAACAAAAACAACAACAAAAAAAAACCACTGATTTACCAGGCTGAGGGATAAAAGGCTTGAATAATTAATGTGGATGCCTATTTTATAATGTCACACTCTGTTCTGTCATCCTCTTAGTCATCAAGCCCTATAGACTCTGCCTCCAGTGTCTCTCTATGTTCTGTTTTCCATTTACACTACCATCACCCAAATACAGGTCACCATTTGTTCTTGCCTATCACATTGCAGTGGCCTTCTGATTTCTTTGCTTCCAATCCTTTCTCCCTTGATCCATTGTAAAGCCCACAATTAGCGTAATGAACATCAGTTAGGGCATATACCCCAGTATTCTAGGCTCAATGGTTCTCAACTACCTAGAAAAGTTTAAAGTTCTTCAACTAGCTTTCCAAGCCCTCAATAATATGACCCCACCCCACTTTTCTCACCTTTATATATATCCCATATTATATAATAAACATGCAGATTCATCTAGTCAACAATGGAGTGTCTACCATGGGTCAGGGTGGGCTAGGGTTGCAAAGGCAAACAAGTTGCAAAGCATCCTCATCCCGCGGACAGTCAGTGGAAGAGATGAATAAAACTGAAGAGGAGCTAGAATAGAAGGGAAACCAGGAGAGTGTGATGCCCTAAAAGACATAGGAAGAAAGTGTTTCAAGAAGGGGATGATCAACCACATCAAATACTGCTGAGATATCAAGAAAAAATGAGGACTGCAGATTGACCCCTGGAACCTGGCCACATGGATCCATGACATGGTGACGGTGACAAGAATGGTTTCAGTGGAGTGGTGGGAGCAAAAGCTTGACTGGCATGGGTTCAAGAGGGAAACCGAGGTAAAGAGGTTGGAGATTTTTGCTGTAAAGGGGAGCATCAAATAATTTCGGTTCTAGGGAAGACTTTTTAAAGATTTGAGAGAGAACATTAAGTTTGTATGCTGATGGGAATGGTTCAATAGAGAGAAATTGATGATGCAAGATGTAAAGGGATAACTGCAAATACCTGAGTAGGCAAAGGAGATGGGATCCAACGCACAAGTGAAGAGATTGACCTAAAATAGCAGGCAGGGTCATTCATTTAAACCATAAAAAAGGCAGAGAGGATGGGAATAGAAGGAAGAAATTAGATTTGGTGGTGAGAAATGACGTTTTACTCTTGTGATTGCTTCCATTTTCTCAGTGAAATAAGTTAGCAGTTAAGATTCAGGAAGAGAGGAGGGAATATTGCAGGTTTAAGGACAAAAGAGGTCATCTTGGATCTCAGGAGAGTGAATTGACTTAAGGAAATGCAAAAGGGTTGCTGAGCACTTGAGGTTTCTGGCTATAAACTTAAAGTGAAACTTGCATTTGAAAAAGAAAATTCTTCTGCATTTGTTATTTCCTCAATCTGTCTCTCCTTAACCACCTGATAAAACCATATTCTAGAAAGCTCAGCAGGAAAGCCACCTCTCTCATAACACCTTCTTGTAGCTCTCCTAGCCCAAAGTGAAGTTTTCAATATCTCAACACCAGTATTATTGATGCCTTTTATAGAGGATATATATTCCATCCCACATTATGGTTAGTTTCTGTGCAAGACTGGAAGTTTCTTAAGTAGAGAAACCACTTCTTATTCACTACAACCACACTATGTTTCTCTCCATCCTCTCTGCCACTTATTATAAATCATGATTCTAGGTCCTGCCCAAACACATAATTGTGTGGCATGGGCCCCCTATCTCCTTATGAAACTGTGATATTTGGGGGAATAGGAACCTTGCTCAACTTTCCGGCTTATGTCCCTCAAATACCTCGCTCTTGAATTTTAGCTATTTTTACAGCTCTTTTAACAAAAAGTTTGCTTCAATTACTGTTAACTCACACATATGGCATATAACAAGACCCTTGTTCTCAAGAGGTTTAGGCCCCCCCCCCTCAGTCAAATGTGCCTTATTATCAATACAAAAATAAATGTGTCAAGAGCCTCAGAAGAGGTGCTAGTAGAGTAAGGTTTATATGTAAATAGCAACAGACATTGTGTAGAGATGGGGGACGGGCAAAAGCTGGTAGGGAGACAGGAATAAAATTTAGCTGGGACGATTTCGTTTAGTCAATTTATATATAAATGGTTCTATAAAGCAGTCCATGGAGCTGCCCCAAGTCCAGACATTGTTGAAATGAGAGTAGAGAGCTGCCGATATGCAAAAAAGGCTAACTACAGGCTGTGCCCCTCCACGGCAGAACTTCCTCTTCGCCTTTCCTCAATCCCTGAGTGATTCCATGATTAAGATTCTAGTACGCAAAAAACCCTCCGGCACAAAAGCAACAGCAGGGACGCGCACGTCAGGACTGAGAGGATCCCCGAGGTAGCCATCAGCAGGCCCCGGTGCG